GCTGGGATCCAGGACCCAGAGAGTGGTACAAAAAAGGGAGGGAATGGGCTTTGGGTGGGCACCACCCTCTGGGTCTATTCACTCTTTCGGCTGCAGACAGGGCAGAGGAAGGCCAGAGGGCCTCAGGGTATTGTCCTCAATGCACCCACTGGGCTGGAAACTCAATAGAAATGCAGAATCACAGGCCCACTGCAGACTTTGTGAGTCAGGTCTGCTTTTTTTTTTTTTTTTTTTTTTTTTGAGATGGACTCTAGCTCTGTCACCCAGGCTGGAGGGCAGTGGCGCAATCTTGGCTCACTGCAACCTCTGCCTCTCGGGTTCGAGCGATTCTCCTGCCTCAGCCTCCCAACTAGCTGGGGTTACAGGCGCACGCCACTACGCCCAGTTAATTTTTGTATTTTTAGTAGAGACGAGGTTTCACCATGTTAGCCAGGCTAGTCTCGAACTCCTGACCTCAAGCGATCGGCCCGCCTTGGCCTCCCAAAGCGCTGGGATTACAGACGTGAGCCACTGTGCCCGGCCAGGTCTGCATTTTAACAAGATTCCCAGGTATTTCATGGCCTTTGGAGAAACACTGCTGAAAGGGCCCTAGCTTAATCTCCTCTCGGTAAATGAAGAGACTGAGGCTGCCTGAAACACAAGGCAGGAAGAGGGGCCTGGCCTGGGGCTGGGTTGCCCAGGTCTGAAAGTGTCCTTCTGGGCACGTTGCTATTCTCTAGGGTAAACAAGCACCACAACAAATTTCAGAGAAAACACCTTTCTAGTAACTCAGATTGAGAGGAGCCTGGAGTGAGAGATTTACAACAAGCGATCCAAGGAAGAGAATTCCATGAAGTCATGGACAAGGTAATTAAAGGAAAATTAAAGTGTTTTTTTCAGAATTAAAGGAAAGTGATAAAAGTCAGTCCACAAGCGAACTTGAGGGAGGGTTGAGGAACTCTTGGTTTGCATTTTGTTTCTGAGGCCAATGCAAATGAGCTGGAGGAGACTTCCATAATCCAGTGAATTGTCCTTTTTTATTTTTGCTTTTGCTTTCTGCATTCCTTTAGCCTCCCTTGTTTTTCCTCAGTATATTTTAGTTCCCATACCTTTCTGATCCATGTGGCCCTTCACTCCCCTGCTTTTGGTTTTCTCAAATCGTTCACTCTGCTCCAAAGAATATAAAAAAGATAAGTCAACAGAACAATTTTTTTTTTTTTTGAGACACGGCCTCGTTGTTGATCCAAGCTGGAGTACAGTGCTGCCACCGCTGCTCACTGCAGCTGCCACTTCTTGGGCTGTAGTGAGCCTCCCACCTCAGCTGCCTGAGTAGCTGGGCCTACAGACATGTGCCACCCTGCCCAGCTAATTATATTTTTATTTGTAGAGATAGGGTCTCACCATGTTGCCCAGGCTGGTCTTGAACTCCTGAGCTGAAGCGATCCTCCCTCCTCGCCCTCCCAAAGTGCTGGGATTATAGGCATAAGCCACCATGTCTGGTCAGAACAAAGTTTAAAAATATGGTCAGCAAATATTTCCTAAGAATATTAAGTGCACTGACCAGGCGCAGTGGCTCAAGCATGTAATCCCAGCATTTTGGGAGGCCAAGGGGGGCGGATGACCCGGGGTCAGGAGATCAAGACCAGCCTGGTCAACATGGTGAAACCCTGTCTCTACTAAAAATACAAAAATTAGCTGGGTATGGTGGTGGGTGCCTGTCGTCCCAGTTACTCTGGAGGCTGAGGCAGGAGAATTGCTTGAACCCGGGAAGTGGAGGTTGCAGTGCACTCCAACCTGGGTGACAGAGCGAGATTCTGTCTCAAAAAAAAAAAAAAAAAAAAAGAAAGAAAAAAAGAAGAAAAAAAAAGAGTTGCATTTTGATTTTATAAGTTCCCTTCAGTTATCAACATGTTGCCAGTTGTGTTTCAGTTCTGCCTAGCCCATCTTCTCATCTCTATTGTTCACCTATCTTTTCTTTTTCCTCCTGCCCTCCCTCCTCCCTCTTTTCTTTTCCTTTCTTTCTCCCTTTCTCTTCTCTCTTTCTTTCTTTCTTGCTGGTGTTTATTAAAGCATATTCCAGACATCATGTCATTTAACTCACTTCCTACAGAGTTTCCTTGAGGCAGGGCCACAAGAGAATGTAGGCTGGGGAAACGATCTCTTATGATTATGTTCTTGACCAAAATATGGAATTTGTGTTACTGAGATAAGAAACAATAAAGAATTTCCAAAACCTCTTCATAATATCCCAGATATTGTGGACTTCATTTTCTATCCCTATGTCTCCCCCCTAGAGTCTTTCAGGGGTGTCTATGAGAACTTTTTCATCTTCCTTTACTATTAAACTAGTAACAGAATAACAGAAACTTTGGATGGTAATACATCTAAAAAGAGGCAAATATGCTCTTTCTGTTGGTGAAGAGGATTCCTAGGGCATAAGTTTTGAAGTTAAAATTTGACAATGGAAAGTCTGCAGAGATCTTCTATGACAAGAAACCAAACATATCACTGCCTCCCCACAACCCCTCGCCCAGGCAAACTCCTGGAGCTGATTGTTGTAATGGTTTTAAAGGCGCTTAGGACCAGGACCTAGATCTGAAGCATGGTGCACAGTTGTTTACTGTTCACACAAGTCAGATCTATGAAGGATCAAGTAATTTGGAGGTTTGGTTACTTTCCATTAGTAAATATCATCCAACTAAATTTGGGTAAAATGCCCTCTAAATAAGTCAAGTAGACAGGAGCTTTGAATGAGGGAATTAATTATAGCTGGTGTCTTAAGGAAAAGAATCCCACTGTGGCACAGAGAATGTAATTAATAGGAGGTAAGTGCCAACAAATCACTCCTTAAAATATTAATGCTATCAAAGAACAGCTGGATAATGAGAGAAACTTGACCCTTGGGGGACTAGCAAAGGTTGCTGCTGCTGCAGAACTTTATGCAGTTATGACGTAATGAAATTCCTCTAAATTTTAACAAAAACTAATATTAAAAGGTGTGGTTCTGGGAAAGTTATTAGCAGTAAACATGTCATAATTTTTATCATCTTATTATAATCATTATGTCTCATTTTTGCTGTGTTTCTAAGTGACATTTTCCCGTAATTGCTCAGGATATATACACAATTGAAACAACACTCTTAAAAAAACCTAGATTTTAAAAAAAGGTTAAGCCTGACAAGAACTTTTTTTTTGTAAATAAAACACCCAATATCTAAGAAATTTCTGCAAAACAATTTCCCATATGCTTAAACTATTTAACGAAACCAAGGAAAAACTGTTTCATTGTTTGTTATTGAAAGCTCCAACTTAATTTGTTTTTACTTAATAGCTTTGTATTGTCCTAAGAAACATGTAATTCCAAGAGAGCAATAAAGTTAAATATTTACACAGTCCCACTTAAAGTGTGAAATGTTGGACATGTATTTTCAACAGCCTCATAACTAAATGCTAATCCCAATACCTAAAATTAGAAATCAGAAGTAATTATTTAATTGGAGTATACTTTAACTTAGATCAAAAAAAAAAAAAAAAAAAAGAAGTCGTTTTAATAGGAGATTTTTTTTTTTAAGTTTCTCTAGAATCGGCTCGGTTCATCAGGAAGCTGCGAACGAGATTAATGCGTTTGATCGCGCACCTTGTGTCGCTGGAGCTGAGAACACTTTGTTCCTTTTGTTTCACTCAACTTGCCGATATCTAACTCAGGGACACGGGTATGCAGCGTGTTTGACAAATAAGTCAAGATACGCCGAACATATTCACACATACCAACAGATAATTGGAAGTTCAGGATGCAGTCAAAATAAACGCTTGCGTTTGACCCAGGTTTCACATAACACCAGTTCCATAAGGCACTTACGCCGCTAACGGAGCAGTGCCCCTGAAAATAGCCCACAGGGGACACATCATTTAAATAAATGTGTTTCTTTCCCTGAACAGAAGTTCAGTTCTGCTCAATTATCATTAATTTTGCTCCTTTATTTCCTTTGCGGGCATGAACGGAGAAGTCGTGCTCTTTGAGGTTTTGCGAGCTGGCCTTGGCTGGCAGAGGTGACCGGCAATCCTTCACACTGCGGAAAAAGTGCGAGTGTGTGTGTACTTGTGAAAACGTGTCGTTCCTCCCAGAAAAAGTGGAAACGTAGGTGGAAAGCTCAGTGCGCATGTTGGCGACACCTAAAAACCATGTTCTCGGTCCTGAACCTATAGAAGCGGTATCCCAGGAACGAGTCTGAGTCTGTGCGACAGGGCACAGATGATTCGACAAACTTCAATGACTGCGCCGCATTCGTGCATTAACTCCTTTGAAAACTAAATCCAGCGTCTCCACTCGCGCGCCCACGTGCGTGGATAAACGCGGGAATTCGGCTGCCCTCAACGTCACTCTGCAGACATTTCCGGGCTGTGAGAGAGTTGGGGTGTGCGGCGGGGGAGGGGAGGGTCTGATATCTTCAGGTTGAGAGTCAAGTCCTGGGGGAGCGGCATGGGCGGGGGTGGCGGGGGAGAGGTGGAGGATGGAGCGCGAACCAGAAAGCGCAGAGGACCCTCGGCCCGCGCCGCACCCGCTGTGATTAGCTCCAGCGGCGCGACCCGGGAAGGCGGACTCTTTCTTAACCCTGGTTGTCTCCTCCTCCCTCTTCCTTTTTAAAGGACGCCTTGCGGGCAGAGCTGTCAGCAATCCCGCTGCCATTTGTACTTGGCCGCGGCGGAGCTGACTCCTGCTCCTGTGACAGATAGGGGCGGGGGCTGAGCGGCCGCCTGTCTGGGGTACTCGCACGTGGAGAACAAATTCTTTTCTTCCGGCTCCTCTCGGGACCCGACGATCGCCACAAGTTGGGACTCTGTGCGGCGCTGGAGTTGGCAGCCCCGGGCGCGATGGCTCCCTTGAGGAATGGGGAGGGAGGTGGCCCGGGGGTTGGCGCGCCCCTCGCGCGGGGAGCGCTTTGAGCCGGATAAAGGGCGGCAGCGACAGCCCCAGCAACTGCCTCTGCCGGCGCCTCCCGCGGGCCCTCGCCAACTCGCCCCGCGCACCATGCTGACTCCCGGCCTACGGAACTCGTAGTGCAGCCCCTGTCGCCTCCCCGGTCCCTGCTATCCCACGCAGGACTGGCTTCGGCCGCTGGGGCCAGCCGCTTGCGACGTGTCCCTGGGGAGGCGGAATCCCTGTGCGCCCTGAGCCGGGGCTCAGCCCTTCGCTTTCCAGCTGCGTCCTGCTCCGGGCCGCCCAGGGAGCCCAGTGGCGATGGGGGCACTGCTGGCGCTTTGCCTTCTCCTTGGCTGGCTGCGCTGGGGCCCGGCGGGCGCCCAGCAGTCCGGAGAGTACTGCCACGGCTGGGTGGACGTGCAGGGCAACTACCACGAGGGCTTCCAGTGCCCAGAGGACTTCGACACACTAGACGCTACCATCTGCTGCGGCTCCTGCGCGCTCCGCTACTGTTGCGCGGCGGCCGACGCCCGGCTGGAGCAAGGCGGCTGCACCAACGACCGCGGCGAGCTGGAGCACCCAGGCATCACCGCGCGTAAGTGCGGGGCCCTTGGGGACAGATCCCCGCCTGCCTAACGGCGGCGGCTGCACGTGTGCGCGGGAGGACGCACAGACCCAGGAAGGTCTGTGCGCCTTCCCGGGTCTGTGCGCCAAGGGGACGCGGCCGGGTGGGGGGAATCAAGGGATGAGTGGGTGGTCGTGTTTCAGACCATGGTCCTCTATTTATTTGCAGTCCCGCTTCCCGCCACTTGCGGTCTCTGCGGGTCGGCCCAAGGGAAAGTTTGCCAGAAACAGTGAGGAGCGCGGGGCTTGTGCCTGGTGGCTCGGGGAAAGACAGCTGGAGCTCCCGGAGAAGGGTCGTGCGGGTTAAGCCAGGGTAGACTTGGGTTTTGGTGGTGGGCGGGGGGGGGCCGAGGGTGTCCCATTGCGCGCCCTTGTCACTTCGGGAGCTTCGGGAAGTGCCGAATGCAGGGAATCGCGACTCTTGTCGCGCGCTCAGTTGCAGGCCTTCAGGGCTAAGAAACTACAGTCACTTTTTTTTTTTTTTGTCCTATGATAGCGTTTCTAAGCCGCGGCCCCGTTCCGCAGACTTCCTTTCAATTCTCTGCATCGAATTACCCTCTCCGGCCCACCCCCTATTGTCACGCCTTTCAGAAATGTCCAGGTCTTCGAGGTGGAGATTTAGAAACAAGGGTCGAAGGTGCTTCCCCGCCCCCTATTCTCACGTCGGAAAACACGGGTCAAATTTCCGCTCACTTCAGAGCGGAATAAATCACGACCGCAGCAAAGAAAATTTACACCTTGAAAAAAAGTTTTCCACCTGAATCGGAACATCAGGGAAACGCTTTAGAGCTTGAGGCGAGGGTTTTATGGCGGGGGAAACCGGAGAAGCGGGCGGAGCTGAGAGCAGGTGACACCCCAGGACTCCAGAGAGCCCAGGTCTGGAGCCGGCAAGAGAAGGTCGCCGGGAAAGGGAGGAGACGCTGGAGAGATCATTAAAGGTTCTCCAACGACCCCTCCCCGCAAACTGATAACCCAGAGGACAGGGGAGTCTGCCTTCTATTAGTGCTCCACTAGAGGGTGAATGTTGGGGGTCAACATTTCCAAGCTAGAGGATTTGGGAAGTAGTTTCTGGAGAAAAGATGCTCAATGGAAAGTAGAGAAATCTAGGCCGTTCTGGCCTGTGAGAAAAATACAGACTCTTCCCCACGGCTTCACTCACTCACCCTGGGGGACCCAGCTGCCCTCTGGGAGTAAGGGCAATTGCCCAGTCTGCAGCAGGGGCTCCCTCTGCGCTCCCTGTTCGGCTCGGTTGCCAGAGGACAGCAGAAGGGACAGGCAGTCTCCACACTCACTGAGCCTGGAATCAGGCAAACCCTGATGGACCTTGGCTCTATCACCTGCCGGCCCTGTAACTTAGGCAAGTTAGTTAACTGCTCTGGATACCTCTTCTCAGTTCTAAAGTGGGCATACTGCTCTCAAAGTAGTTAAGTTGTTGGTGACCTGAGAGTGTATGAATGCTGAAGCGCAGAGCTAAGTAAATGGTAGTTACTCACTTTGCCTTTTCTTGCACACTGGTGCTAGTAAACAGGGGAGAATGGGAGGGACACAGAAGAGCTTATGCCTAGGAGCCCACAAATAGTTGACAGTTACCTGTCCTCACTGGCTCCGTCTGTGGGAATGCACAAACTTCTCTGATCTATTTCCACATCTGGAAAATAGAGCTTATCATGTCCATCTCCCAGGGTCTCCATGAAACTTTAACCAGATAATGAATAAGAAAGAGCCAGGCACACAGTAGGGACTTAATCAATGCAGGTTTTCTTTCTTCTACCTGTAAGCTGGAGGCTGTGTCCTAGCACGGCTCTATCAGGGGAGATACCTGGAGAATTGCCCTAGGAGATGCCTCTGGGCTTGGAAATTTTATGTCTGCCTTGTAGAGGGAGAAGGAAATTGGAGTTTGCTCTGTTTGAGGGATGATTTTATAGAAACTCTGGGCCGTGGACACCGAGAATTGCCTCGTGATCTATCTAAAGTTCAGTCTGACTTCCCAGACTTGGATGGGAATTGAGAGGCATGGCAGCTGGAGTGGGTATTCCAAATCTTTCCTGGAAAGAAGCAGCCAGAGCTGGCAATTTGTGGTATGGTAGGAGACACAGTAGATTGGGCCCTCTGTGAATTTCTTTATACTGTTCTTTCTGGAGTCTCACAAAATCCAGGGTCTGTGTGTAGAGGGGAATCTCATTTAATAGGCCTGACTCTCTTTGCTTACCCTGGAGATTCTTGGATGGGAGATGGATTGCCAGCCTAGGAGAGGGGTCAAATCTCTTATTGCCTCACTGTGATCCAACTACTAAAACCTGCATTTAAACCCAGAATTATTGTAACCCCTAAAATTCACCCTTTCCCTCCAGTGCCTGAACAGAACAGATTCCATTTTTTTTTCTAACTTCCAGATGTGCAATATGATGGTTAATTGCTAACAGAGGCTATGGTATCTGTTGCTTCCTCCCTGCTAGGAGTAGCGAGAATATTACATCATCACAGTTTGCATTGCATTTTGCAGGTTACCATTAACAAGCTCTGAAAAACTGAGCTGACAACCGTGATAATATTGAGTCTGCCACCTCTCAACCCTCAGCTGCCCAAGCAGAGCTCAGAGTCTAGGAGATCCTCATCCAAGCATCTGTTTATGTCTGTTTTTGCCTTTTAGAGCCTGTCTACGTCCCCTTTCTCATCGTCGGCTCCATCTTCATTGCGTTCATCATCCTGGGCTCTGTAGTGGCTATTTATTGTTGCACCTGTTTGAGACCCAAGGAGCCCTCGCAGCAGCCAATCCGCTTCTCACTCCGCAGCTATCAGACAGAGACCTTACCCATGATCCTGACCTCCACCAGCCCCAGGGCACCCTCCCGGCAGTCCAGCACAGCCACGAGCTCCAGCTCCACAGGCGGCTCCATCCGCAGGTTCTCCTTTGCCAGGGCTGAGCCAAGCTGCCTGGTGCCCTCGCCGCCCCCGCCATACACCACAAGCCACTCAATCCACCTGGCTCAGCCATCTGGTTTCCTGGTGTCACCCCAGTATTTCGCTTACCCCCTCCAGCAGGAGCCCCCCCTGCCTGGGAAGAGCTGTCCAGACTTCAGTTCCAGTTGACACGCCCAGGCCATGAATCCACAAGTCAGTCAAATGGCAGACAGGTGGAGCCCTGCTGCCATTGCCACATGCAATTCTGAGAAAATTTCCCTTGTAACTGATCAGTGTCATGGAGGAGCATGCTCGGAAAACACAGCACCTTCTAATTTGAGAGTTCCTGGCTCCAATCACAGAATGGCTAAAGCAGAGAACTGTTTTCTGGTTTTGCAAACATGTGATCATTACATTTCAATTTATGCTACTTTTATTCAAAACATACAGCAGTTTGACTTTAAAGTTGCAAATTGGCTGAAAGTGTTTTACTGGACATTCAGCTGTGCTGCTTAGAAAAGGGCCACATGTTTCTTTTTCATGTAAGTTGTTTATTGAGTTATGATAGAAATATATTCATAAATAAGCAAAGAAAAATACCTAATTATAATTATCGAAGGTTCACTGAAAAAATTAACTATTAGGTAAACTTAAGGGGGCAGTGAACAATCTGTTTATGATTTCGGGAGTAACCTAACCATGAATAATATTAGCATAATGAGAACATTTACTTTTCAAATAAATAACTAGATTTTGTTTAAAATAAGAGTTTTTTTCCAGAATACAAGGTTTCAATAACTGCATGAGGAGTTTAAAGTTTTAAATATATACTCAGACATTCATTGTAACACAGAGTCTGTGTAAAATCATTTCCCCACCCACTGGAGGGAGTATTTATTGCAGACATTTTGTTCAGCAACATCTAGTGTTTCTGTGAAAGTTGGACAGTTGGGGTTTAACACATTTATTTGTAAAATGAGATATGTACAAATGTAAATATTTGTAATTTAATGTATTTACCACATTGACTGTACTAATTATTTAGTAGTCATACTGTAATTTTTATGTTAATAATTGTGGAGTTCAAAGTCTAGCTATTGGTATAATCATCTAATATTATATATATCTCCAGTGCCACTGAATTTTATGTCTGATGACTATATATTTGGGCATATATCTTGTTGGATTAGAATAAATAAAATACTTTATGTTTTCATGAACTCTATTGAAATTTTACAGTGATTCGTTTTATCTCTTTAGCAATGTTTTTGCTATTCAATGAAATGAAATGTCTTTAACACATACTTCATATTTTAAATAAAAAAAATTCCGTATCAGGGCTCGTGAAAGCAGCAAAGGAAGTCAATTTTTATGGAGGTCTCAGTCTCCAGCCCTCCGATGGGTTATTTGGCCTGTGGAGAATTCATCATTGGGACGTTCCTCATAAGAATCTGGATTTCTGGCTTCTCGTGACATACAGGATGTGGCACTAGAGGTTCTGCACTGCCTTGGGGTCAGGTCAATCCTCTTCAGACAGGACACCTGCCATTTGCCAGCCTCCTGCCTGGTCTCCCCACCTGGCCCATCTATTTCTGCTATGTTACCTACCTGGCCCCTGCAGGTGTGATTTGAAAGCCCAGATTTATAGGAATTCATACTATCGTATGTCACTCTCAATTTTCAAACACAACTAGTTAGAGGCAGAATTCTGTCCTAAGACAATTGTTTGGCCTTGTCTCTTCGTCTTCTAGTTAAGGAAACAAGTTCAAAGACATTATGCATCTGCTCAGTCTAAAGGCAGAGGGGCTCTGACTTCTAGTCTCCTGCTTTATCCTGTATCTAAAAGCTGTCTGACTTCCAGGTTTCCCAAATTGTTCAAAATAATCAAGGAAAGAAACAGCTGCATGTAAAAGGATGAACATTTATACACATGTTCTTGGGTGCAATCCTACACTATTAGACTAGTTTTATTTATGTTTGTGGTATATTGGTCCTTTTAATGGTTTTAAGGTAACCTTATTAAAGCTCTTCTTATGAGTCAAGCATTAAGTATTAACATGTATTAACTTATTTTATGCTCTCAACAAGCCCAACAGAAAAGTATTACAATTCCTATTTTAAAGATTTGAAAGCTGAGGCACAAAGGAATGAAGTAACTTGCCCAAGGCCCTGCAGCTAGTCTGTACTGGAGTTGATATGCATAAACACACAGATCCAAACAGCAAGGGAACACCTGCTTTGAGATTTTCATGGTTCTGTGTACAAAATTCATCAGAGATTTTAAGAGAATAAGCCTAAGCTTCAAACGCAGTGATTCTCAGCCCCGTTGGACCCCAAAATGAGCTCTCCTTAGAACAAATATTTTGTGACATCCCTTTATCAGTCCTAAAATGAAATTTATAGATAACTCACTACACACATAGTTTTTTAAAATCAATACAATGCCCCAATGGTAAATAGAAGAAAGAAAGGGAAGTAACTTATTTCTAAATGTAAAGGCTTGGGCAGACTTAAAAAAGACACAGATGCTAACCCCTTACTCAAAATTACCATGGTGTGATAGCTTCAAATCCAGACGGATGCAGTTGGTCATTCTGGCAACTCAAATAAACACAATTGCATTGATGCCATTAATGTGATTTTTCCCAGCAAAGTTTGATCATCCTTTGATTTGCACAGTGCCTGTGTATCTGAAGAATTCAATGTATATTAGGGCAGTGCAAAAAATATAGGTAAAATGGGATTACATTTTTTTTCACCAGTAGGAATGGTGGACGTTCCAAAGTCATGTCGATGGACATCAAGTCTTTGTTGTGCAGGCTGCTCCATGCATTGTAGGATCTTTGTTACAACTGAGTCCCCCTCAGTGAATGCCAGTAGCACATCCACCTCCGCCCCAACACTCTGATGCTAAAGATTCCCCCATGCAATTCCACCATGTGCCCTAGAGGGTGGAACTGTCCCCACTGAATACCATCTAGTTGCCAGATTTCTCTAGTAGCTGTACTTTTATTTGTCATCCCTTTGGAGAACAGTTTATGTCCATTAGACAAGTTAACGCTAAGGAATTCATAGAGAGTCCACATCTGCAAATTTCCCTTCCTGAGCAGGATGCCCCAGTCAATTTAACTGGCCATAAATTGTTTAAAATTAGAGAGATATTGTGTACCTCATTGCAATATGGCATTCGGTGATACTAGATCTAGATCAAATCATATCCCCAAGTAATTGGTGATATACAGTACATGCCTTTGACCTTCTCCCTGGAAGCTATATAGGTGATATGATTATTCACAATGTTAGGTAAAAAGCCTATCCTGTGGCAGATTTCTAGATATTGTCCCATTCAACAGTTCTTTGCTGAACACCACTTATGGGTTAGGTGCTGGGTGAGATGAATAAAAGATCATTAAAATGCACTTCCAACTCAAGGAGCCACTACCTATTACAGGCTCCGGCATGATGACAAAGACAAATACTTGTGATAAAATGTCATAGATGCTTTATAAAAGAAGCACCATATCTTTTTCTGCTCTCTGTGGTAACCGCGATTACAGGGGAGTGCAGGATACCCTGGTAGCACTTACAAAGGACACTGTTCATCCTGGAGATGTTGACATTGGACCTGAGCCTTGAGAGACACATAGGATTTGAATGAAGAAGACGGGGCAGAGGAAGAAAGAGAGGGGGGCTGGAAATAAGGGAAAAATATATCAGGCAGAGTAAAGAATTCATAGACAGACACAGAAGCACCCACCCATGAGCCTGAAAGAACAAGGAACATTTAAGAAACCAGAAGAAGACTGGGTGCTCAAGCCTGTAATCCCAGCACTTTGGGAGGCCAAGGTGGGTGGATCACGAGGTCAGGAGATCGAGACCATCCTGGCCAACATGGTGAAACCCTGTCTCTACTAAAATACCAAAAATTAGCCAGGCGTGGTGGTGGGCACCTGTAGTCCCAGGTACTCAGGAGGCTGAGGCAGGAGAATTGCTTGAATCCAGGAGGCAGAGGTTGCAGTGAGCTAAGATTGCACTACTGCACTCCAGCCTGTCAACAGAGCAAGACTCCGTCTCAAAACCAGAAACAAACAAACAAAACAAGAATCCAGAAGAAGAGTGAGGCTGGAGAGAGAAGCAGGGGCAGATTAGAGATCTTGAACACCACGGCATTTGAACAGATGTCAAATGCAAAAGGGAGTCCGGAAGGATTTCACAGGGGAGGGGAATGGGATCATATCTTCATTTTAGAAAGATTAGGCTGCCAAGGTCAAATAAAATCACTTGGAATTTCCAAGGAGCTGTTCCTCACAATCTGCTAAACCACCAAATACAGGGGAAACTTGTCTGCTTTTGTTACTTCCAGAAAGAATTTGAATCCAACATCCTCATACCATGATTATTGTGAAAAATAGTTCTGCATTTTGAAAGGTTGTTATGCCAATAATGGATAACATTTATTAAGCACCATGTGTCCCAAGTGCTTTATGAATTGTATCACTGAATCTTCACAGCCCTGAAGAGGGGATTAGCATCATGCCTACCATGCAGATGAAGAAATCAAGGTGAGAAGCTTAAACATTGTGCACAAGGACGAACGATACCATAGGGGACAGATTTGAACCAGGAGGTCTACTTTGAAATTCTATGTTCTGTGTGACATTAGCCCTAGGAGGTCTAATTTTGTCAGGAAAACAAAAATATCCAATGTACTTTTCAGAAAATCTATCGGGGAAAAAGTGATTAATTGTATCATATTATACACATCCTATTGATATCAGGGGATTGTAATAGTCAAGGAGAGCTTATGCTGCATTATGAGAATGTGGCATAAAATGAAGCATGAATAAAAACACTAGATGATAAACATTTCTCCCTTTACACATGAGAAATGGGATTCCAGAGGCTGATTGAGCATGGATTTTGAAGCTGTAATGCTTGGGTTTTCTGGCTGTGTCACTTAAAAGTGGAGTGACTTTGGGCCACTTAAGTTCACTGTGTCTGTTTTCTCATTTGTAAAATAGAGACATTAGTACTACCTTTTTGCTTATGGTTGCCTTGAGAAGTAAGAAGTTACAGACACTGTCTCTTGTCACTTGCATTCTAGTGGGCAGAAAGCTGTGTAGTAAGGATAAATAACAGAAAGCAGATGAAATACTTTAGAATAAAAATGAAAGGCTAAGTACTGTGGGAGGGCAGACATCACTGTTGATTAGGGGTAGGGAACAGAGAAAATGGTCCTACAGTTTGATCGAGTAAGTCCTTGATTCATGGGTCCCTTTGGTACTTGACCAACTTCCTGCTATTGTCTGGAGTTGGGCATCCTCTCATCCTGTTGGCTACTCATGGTCCGTACATTTCTTTCATCATCTGCTTTAGAGAGAACATTTGTACCCAGGTGTGGTGGCAGCTGCCTGTAATCCCAGCTACTTGGGAGGCTGAGGCAGGGGAATCGCTTCAACCTGGGAAGCGGAGGTTGCAGTGAACCAAGATTGTGCCATTGCACTCCAGCCTGTGTGTCACAGTGAGACTACGTCTCAGAAACAAAAAAATAACTGTTCCTTGGAGACAAATCTATTCTAAAATAAGTGTGCTTTTCTAACAAAAAAAAAAGCACATTTGACATAGTAAATTTGCTTTAAAATGGTTATGTTCCAAAGTGAACAGATTGTACACTTGTCCAAATGGATAATTCCTTATTTTCCCCACCTGTTTTATTTTTGTTATTAGCTACTTCTCATGGTGGAGAATTTACCAGATTGACTTGAATCCATAGGAAATTTTCTCTCTAAAATGAGATAACCAAAAAACTTCCTGAAAGTAGATACAGTCACAACCAGGAATTTGACAAATTTCACTGGGTCGGGATTTTACCTTTGCATAATCCAAAACATTTATTTAGTTATGTGTTCAGGAAAACTAATAATTTATAGGCATGTTAAACTATTAAGGGAACAAACTGTTAACATATTTTTATATGTACATGACTATTTTAAAATTGCAATTAAACAATAGTTAATGAAATTATTCTGACAGGAAATCCTTATTTACACTGCTAGTTTCATGTACTTGAAAGTAATAAAATGGCAAGAGGTGTTTCATATTTTCCAACAAATTTTATTCGCCTATTCATGAAATTAGGTTAGGAAGACCTTTCTTCATTAAAGTGAGGTAGCTCTGTGTTACTGAAATGAAAGCTTTAGGTAAGAGATGCCCTACGCATCCAAA